GGGACCATGTCTGTCATGCTCTTCATTTTGTCCTTTTACAGAGTGAGCATTCCATAAATATTTCTTGCCCAAAGAACAAATTATGAAATAGAGATCAAGGCTAATTTGGATATAATTCTGTATTGGCAGATGAGCTATTTAAGAAACAATATACAAGTAAGACAATGAAAAGAAAGCAGCAATTTTTTTCTGCTGTTTGTAAAGAAAAATGGAATATTAAAAATAAAAATGCAAGAAATAAATTAAAACAATGAATAGAACAAGTTGCACCATTACTCTCATTTATATTTTTACCACGTAGTCAAGAGCCTTTACCTGCAAAGTGCCCAGGTTTGATTCTTCCACATCCTTATACTACCAAGATTGACCCACAGAACCTTCTGGAAGGTCCATATAAGAAAAAATCTCAGAGAAAGAATTTCCTGAAACTTAAATTGGTAGAACATATACTCTCTGTGTGAAGTGTGAAGTCCTGTCTATTATAATATGCTAACTAAAAAGAACGGATGATAGTTACTTATAACATGTACTTCTGGAATTTAGATAAATGAGCATAGTTTAACATTATATATTTTTCCTAAACCTTGAGGACAGAGTCTAGGCTGGAAATAATAATAATTGGGTGAGTTAAAAAATTAGAAATAAGACAGATGGAGTTAGAGCATTAATGGAGTTTAAGAGTACTGTCAGGATTCAAACTTAGAAGTGAATTAAGAGGAAATGTCCAGCCAAATGATTAAAACCCAACATCCAATGAGAAAATGGGATTTCAGATTCTCCAGAGTCCCCTGGGCTCCTCCCAGCACAATGTTTTCCCACCCATTCCACCAAAATACAAAATATGTCTGGCTTTTGGCTTGGACAGAGAATTGTATAGCACTGATTAAGTTGTTCTCAGCCTGAATGGTCAATGTGTGTTTTTGTTTGTTTGTTTTTTTCCTTCTTCAGGTATAGAAAGCTACTGAGGTTGTAAAAACCTTTATAGAAATGAAATGTATAAAAACTTCCTGTAACCCTGAACAATCTTGACACCACACGAGGCACACTTGAGAAAGAGACTTCCTCTGGAGTGTGAGAAGAAAGTTAAGAGAGATGAGAGTAGCATGGCTCACAGAAGGGAGATCAAACACTCTATAGAAAATACATGTTACAGTGCAATTGCCCTAAAGGAGTTACAGGATTATGAAAGCCTAACTTAATTAAGGGAGAAAATAGGTCACATTTAACCACCACATACATGGCATATCATTTTGACTATACAGAATAAGAGGAGAAAAAATGAAGACATCAGAAATACAGGAAAGACAACCACAGAATGCATCAATCTCTTTTGTTCCATCTCAGTCAGGTATATGTTTTGATTTTATATGTATGAAAGATTCACAATTCTTCTAATATCCTGCTTTAAAACCATTAGCAGTATACTTGAAAGAGAAATTTCAGGTGTCAAAAGAATGAGAAATAAAATGGCCCAACCTAAAATTAAAAATAAATAAATCTGAAGTGAGAGGTAAGAATATCCTTCCACTCATAAAAATATACCTTGCACTCTCTTCCCTTCCTCCCCCCATGTCATCAAATGACAGGTAATCAGGTCCTTGTGAACCCTGCATGGAATCTTCCCCCTTTCAGGGCTCAGTGTCCCTGTGGGGTCGAGCTAATTACAGGTACGTTTCCTCTGCCAGGCAGTCACACTCTGTACTGTTGAAGGCACAATTAATAATTGAACAAAGCTAGCTGGGGTTTTTTTCTCACAAGGCCACGGGTTGCAGGTAGCTTTGCTGTCACACAGGGAGCACAGCCTCTTCTTTGGGTGTCTACAAGAAAGGCTTTTGCAATATAGGCTGAAAAGGATCATCCCATTTTCAATTTTTTGGGGAAAAAAAGGAAAATAACCCACAAAAAAACAAAGATGAAAAAATAAATCTTAGTTTCCTTTATAGGACAGTAAAGGCAAATTCTCTCTCCTGTCACCAGGAATATGATTATGATCAGATAGATGCTTATTTGGGTCAGATGTGAAAGATGAAAGCGTGGGCTGGGGAATTAATACCATTGTAAGGGAGAACTGGAGTTTGCCCTTGAGTCTGTGAATGCAGCAGGAGTTAGTTTTGCATGCGCCAGAATAGAATTTGACCCACAGAGAGGACCTAGATAGAGTATTATAGAAGAATAAAGTTCTTTCCCTTGAGATGTCCTTAGGAACTAAATGGATGATATCTCCAAAGCCCTATAACATTAAGGATGAGTGCAGAAATCCTCATCCTATCCTCTAAGACATAGCCTTGAACAGGAGTCTGTCTGTAAACCATACTATAAAAGGTCAGATAGAGAACATTTTAGGTTTTGGGGCTAAGCCACCTTTGTTTCAACTATTCAACTCTGCTATTTTAGAGCAAAGGCAGTGATAGACAATATATAAATGAGTGAGCATGGCTGTGTTTCCAAAAAACTTTATTCATGGGCACTGAAATGTGAATGTCATATATTTTTTCACAACAAAAATAAAATTCTTCTTTTGAAATGTTTCCTAACCATTTAAAAACCATTCTTAGCTTGCAGGCTATACAAAAGTGGAGCAGGCTGAATTTGGCCCAGGAGATGTAGTTTGCTGCCCCCTGGTCTGCCTATTGGAAACCCCTGTGAAGACATCTGTTTTTCTAGCTGATTTTGAGGGTTCTCTGAGTGTATAGATGCTGCCTTTACTGTGGAATATCTGGTCTACCTATGGCCTTTGTTGACTTGAAACATCATAGATAACCAGGTTATTCAGAGTTCAAATCACATTTTCATTATCATTAAAAAGTTTACTAGACCCTAGCCAGTGTGACTCAGTGGTTGAGCTTCAACCCACAAACCAAGAGGTCATGGTTCCATTCTGGGTCAGGGCACATGTCTGGGTTGCAGGTTCAATCCCCAGTGGGGCGTTCAGAAGGCAGCTAATTGATGTTTCTCTCTCATCCATGTTTCTATCTCTCTATCCCACTCTCTTTCTCTCTTTCTAAAAAATCAATATATATATCTATAGATAGATATATATGTGTATATCTATCTATCTATATATAGGTATATAGATAGATATACATATCTATCTATAGATATCTATATATATGTGTGTGTGTGTGTGTGTGTGTGTGTGTATATATATATATATATTTTAAAGTTTACCAGAGTTAGCCATGAAAATCTAAACTCCTAGACCAAGCCTTGAAACTCTGGCTCTAGCTAACTATTTTTCTGAAAACAAGGGATAAAAAAAGAATATATCTTTAGATTCAGGTCACCAATAGCATTTTTTGTCTGAGAAAAAACATTTACTAGGCAATAGTGCACCTAAAGAAATAAAATAGTTTTATTAATGTAGTTCATTTCTTGATTATAAATTGAATATAATCTATCTTCCTTCTTCTTTTCTTTATAACTTTTTTTCACAGAAATTAAGAGATTACAAAGAATATAGTATATATACATTTAAATTAGTTATAGGTGAGACAATATTAAAATAATGGTAAGAAAACAAGAAGAAAGCAAGGATTTAATGCCATAAAATCTCATATAGTTTGCTTAAAATCCATATTGTTAACTTGTACTTTACATAGAATTTCCTATATTCTTTTATAAATGGGCCATACATTTGGCTCTACCTTTGGTAATAGTCAATACAATGAAGGATTCATGATCATTTATAAAAATTCACTGGGTTCATTTATAGAAGAACAAGCCATTGCTTAGAAAAACAACACTAGAAATAATGAAAATAAATAGCAATTTCCTTAAAGGGTCCTTGAAATGGAAACTATGTAATAAAATTAACAATCTCTCAAAAACTTTACAACAAAAGCCACAATTTTAGAGATCTTTTATGACATCTTTAAATGGGGGCCAATAGCTTTTATAGCAAATTGTCATTCAGTAAAAGCAGTTCTACTTGGGACAGTGGTAGGTGGTGTAAGTTTGGGGGATGACATAATTCTATCCAAGTAGAATGTGCTCTGGTGGTTTAATTTAATCCAGGGGAAAGGTGTATGATACCCAGAGGTTCACACTTCAAATTACCCGCCATATGTATTTTTCCCATGTGAGGATATAAAATGGGTCTGAGAGGAAATGAGCTTGATCTACCAAATAAGTACCTCATTTATTGTTCTTATATATTATAAATAAATGACAAGTTGCATCCATTAACAATGAGGATGGGTACTGAGTAACATTTTTCTCAAGAAAGTAGAAGCCTCTAGTAAGAATAGCTGCTTAAATAAAAGACTGTTCCATAGATTGGTTCAAACTTCACTTGATACATTAATTTGAGGGCTAACATAAAATGGAGGCCAATATTCTCACATTACAAAATACAGTGTTTTTTTTGTGTTGTTTGTTTTTTTTTTTAAGATGCTATAACCAAATACTATCCTGGCCTTTTAAAATATCTCAGGATATCTTTCCTTGTATGTCTAGTTTTTGCACAACAACTTTTTTATGGTGTTCATTCCAAAATAAAAATTGTTTTAAATTAATCTCCAGATAATTTTATAAAGAAACTTTAAGAGAATATCAGATATAAGTCAGTTAATAGTTGGGAGCTATCTACTAAAAGAAATGACATTTCATAAGACTAATTGATCCCTACCTTTATAGAAAGAAGTGTGTAAATGTAATCCATACAACACATTTGACCCAAGACACTCAAACACCAAACTGGGATACATTTTAAACATAATATGAAGTAATTTAAGACATTTAATGCTTCTATATTTGTTGCCTTGGGGGAGTGTTCTATTGAAAATAAAATAAAATTTATACATTTGTACCATGGTTGAAAACTTTATAGAGATGGACCCATTAGCAAAGACCAGGGAGGACCCTAAATAACTTCTATGTCACAATTCTATTAGTGTCATAATAACAAGATACATGCTTGCCTTTCAAATCCACTGGAATCTCAGAAGTGTGGGGCTCTCTTAAATAGTGTGTGGCATTTTGGAGACTGGAGGGTTGCTTACCAGTTGGTGTAAGGTGTCTCCAGGTGATAACAGGTTCAGGACGGCCATTGGCCATGCAGACCAGGGTCACATTGCTGCCCTCATTCACAGTGACATCCGAGGAGATGTTGGAGATCTTTGGTGGAACTGTAAAGACAAAAGCAAATGGAATGTGTAACTATGTCAGTAAAAGCAGGTTTGCAGCATTGGTCCTTGCAACTGGAAGTGGCAAATATGAGCTAAGTACTCTTATAACTTTAGGCCTTGAAATTTGGGGGTTAGGAAGCCAGGGTGTTTTAGGACCTCCTAGAGACTTAATGAGCAAATAAGAAGCATGAGTCTTACTATAAGGTGAGATTCTTTCCACTATGGCCAAGTGCTATAGGAAGTACAATGAAAATGACTTGGCTTTTTTCTGATTAGAATTACTTTTTTGGCTATTAGAGATTGTGGACATGTATACATATTAAGAATAAATTTTCTTATTACTGTTACTTACATTTTCTATCTATAAAAAGGAATATAATCTAATCTCTTGAAATGTCAGGAAAAAAGGTATTATTTAGTTTAAGATTTCATAGTTGTGTTATTAAGATACAGTGGGGCCTTGACTTACGAGTGTCCCGACTAACGAGTTTTTCGAAATACGAGCCGTCTTTTGGCCGATTTTTTGCTTTGAGTTGCGAGCTAAAATTCAGGTTATGAGCCAGCTTTAGATACTCCACCACTATTTGGCGCAGCGAACGTCACAGTGAACGCCACATCAGCCCAGCATCACGTGTCTCACTCGTTCACTTTTTGATTTGACATACGAGTAATTTGAGTTACGAGCTCTGTCACGGAACGAATTAAACTCGTAAGTCAAGGCCCCACTGTATAGTAAAACCTGGATACTTATAATCTAGCCCCATAAGGAAACAACTGGCTACAATAGAAAGTCTCTAAATAGCATCTTGGTGTGTGCCTGCCGGATAATTAAAATTGAATTAATAAGGCCTATGTCACAGATAGGTAGATATTACCAAAAAAAAAATACTATTACTCCTAAAAACTATCATCACCACTACTACTAACAATTTAATAATAGCTAACTTGCATTACTTACTATACATAGAATTTTATTTATAGGTGAGAAAGTGAGGTATAGAGAGGGCTAGGTGAGAAGCAGAAAACTGATTTGACTCTAGGCAGACTCCAGGGCCCACACTTTTAAGCACTACTTGAATGAAACTTCATCTTCACAATCCAGGCTACCAGATGGCAGCAAATGACGACAATTACTTTTTGGTGATGTGAGAAATGAGTCCCCAAGGGCTAGTGGTACTGGCGTCTGACTCCTTCATTAGTGTTCAGGGCAGCCACATTAGATCTCACATTGGTAGGCTGGAGTGGAAAGTGAATTACTCCCAAATTTCTTCACAGAGGTTATACACTGATTACAAATAGCAGAGTTTATGGTTTGACTGTGATTTTCCTTTTTTTACTCTTAGTGGCTTATGCTGTCCCTGAGAAAGTATGTGTTGAGAACAGCAGGGGGGAGTTCAAGAATCTTACTTTTTCTCTCTTTTCCTGTCTAATAGGAACTCTGTGTGGTGACAAATAAAACAGGAACACTTTCTGCTTGTAGAGGCAGCTGCCTGGCAAACATATAATCCCCACAGATTCCTGTGAGGAGACACTGATGGGACTTGGGCAACTGACCAGATCAGAGTGTCACAAGGAGGAACTGGGTAGAGAGCTCTCATCGTAACACTCCTCACACAGTGACATCCTATATGGCTTCTGGGTAGAAACCAGTGTTTCCAAACCAAACCCAATGACAGAAATAGAATGTAGTTGATTCTCATTATTTAGTAATTTCTATTTATAACTTTCCAGTTCCCCTTTTATCTATTGGGGTTAGGGGATGTTTTCTTAGATTCATATGTTGACTTGCAATATATTCTTCCACACTTTTATAATGAGGACCTGAAAGGTTATATGCTTTTTATAGAAAAGAACAGAACAGGACACAAGAGAGGAATAATGGCTTGTTGAGGGTGATCCCATCAAGAACTATGGCTGGGCTTAGAACTCATAGCTCCTGAATGTCCAACTGTTCTGCCAATTAATATTGGAATTTTCTAATTCCCAACTGAGTAAGCCAGGTTTCAGAACCTCTCCAAAAGCAAACAAACAAGCAAGCAAACAAACAAAAACACACCAATAAAATATAAAGCTATGATAGAACAGAACTTAATCATTCTAGGTGCCTTTCTCAATAATAGGAATCTATACAGTAATTACAAGTGCTCATATCAGTCAGTTTGTAGCTAATTTTGAATTACAAGGGACACAGCATAGAGGAAATAAAACTGTGTTCTTATATTTAAAAAAGTGGAGTTGAGGAGGGGGAGGCTATATATCCCTAATATAAAAACACTCAAATTTATAAAACAGAAAAAATCTTCAGTGATCAAGCTCTCACAGAGTTAATGCCTATGATGCAATTTACTTACATTACCTCTCTTTTATGAGAGGAATATATACCAATAACTTTAATTTTACATGGTATGCAAGTTGAGATATGCTCAATGGCACATAGACAAGTAATAACAAAATCAGGAATAAAATCTAGAACAACTGACTGCAGGGCTATGTTTTGGCCACCAAACTATATTATTTCTTTTAGTTAAGGACAATATACTCAAGTCCCGGATCTCAGATACTGAAGGTACAAAAAGTGATTGTGTTGAATAGTTAGAAATATAATCATGTTGACATTGTATCACATCTTCCACGGGGTCACTATCAATGGGTTTCACTCCATTATTTATCTTCCTACTTTACTGTACTTTGTACCAGCTTCTTCCCATAATATTTATAATCGATGTAGTTCTTTTTCTCTAGAAAAAGTCCCTCTGCAAATCCCATGTTGCCCTCCTACCAACTTTCAACCTCTCTCTTTCTCCAAGTTTCTTGAAGGAATTGTTCTATACAACATCTTCATCTCCTGTTTATTTCCAATCTTCAGTGCAATCTGGATTCCCTCACTGACCTCCAAAGAAACTGCTTTCAGGAAGCTCACCAATTTGTTCAAACCATATTGTTTCTAGGTCCAGTGAACAATATTTGTCATTATCCAATTTTTCTCTAAAGTATATTACTTTGTTGACCACAACCTCTTTCTTCCATTCTTTACTTTTCTTAGTTTCTAGGTCACCAAACTCAGCTGCTTTTCCACTTAGCCCTCTGGCCAGTCCTGCCAGTTTAACTCTGGGGCTTATCTTGTCCTGTTCCTTAAATATCTATATTCCTGAGGGTTTGTTCACTGTCTTCTTTCTTGCTATCACTCACTGTGAGTGATCTCATCTACTCTCTAGCTTCAGAAGTGTAAGCCATGTTGTTGATGATTCCTAAATCAGTATTCGCAGCCCAGGTTTTTCTCATGAAATTTATACCTAGTTTTCTCTTTGACTCTTCTGCATCTCCATATATGCCTCACAGATACACAAGACTCAACATAGTACTCACCATCTTCCTTCCCACTTGTTATCTTGTGTTTACTCTCTCATTAAATGGTGTCATCCTGCAAACAGTTGCCCACGCAAAAAGAGAAGCTTCTCTCTCTTGACAGCTCTCTCTCCTTTACTGTCCCATATAAAATGGATCCCCAGTTCTGTGACTAATGGATTTTCAGATTCATTCATTACTTTCTCTCCCTATTTCCACTAGCTTTTTCCAGCCATCAACATTTCTTCCCCGAATTTCTGCAAGAGCATTATAACTAGTTTCTTTGCCTCTAGCCTTCGTCTCCTCAAGCTCATTGTCATTCATGTACCACACAACAATCAGAATTTTTTTCCTAAATTGCAAATGTGAGTATAGTATCCCCTGATTAATCTTATTGCCCTGAAGAGAAAATCCAAATTTCGTAATATATCTTAATAGGTCATTCACTATTGGCCCCTGCTTCTCTCTCCAGCCTTACTTCCTAATCACTTCGCATTGCATCATCCAGTCAGATCAAACTTTGGTTCCTATACTATAATCATTTTCTTCCAGGCATGCAACATTCTTTTTTTTTTCTACATGGAATATCCTTCTTTCAACTCTTCATGTGCTTAGCCCCTTTCCTCCTTCAGGTTTCAGCTTGTCAGTTTATTTGCTCACTTTTCCAGGAAGATTGTCCTGTCATTCCCACCTCCTCCATCCCCTTCTGACTCCACATTGATTGAAGTACCCCTCCTGGTTCTCAACACTGTGCCCTGTTTTTTCTCCACCACAGTACTGAATCTTAATTGCTGGATTATTTACCTGTGCTTGTCACTAAATTGAAACAGGCAGACAGGAGGGCCTTTGTTTTCTTGACCACTGAATCTTACAGAGTACTTGGATCATGGTACAGTATGTGGGGGAAAAACACACACAAACACACCAAAAACACTACACAACAACAACAACACACACAATAAAGTTTTCCTCCAAACTCTTTTCTGAGCTAAAGGAAGTCATCTCACTGAATTTTTGTCAGAAAAGAGAAAGCTTTTATTTTGAACCAATAAAACACTGACAGTTTTTATAAATATTTCTTTAGTTACCTTTTAGTTATGTATTTCACTATAAATGTATTTCACTAACAATTAACCATGGGGCAGAGAAATGTTTGGATTTTAGGAACATACAAAGCAAGACAAACTTGGTGTCCAGTTCCCTCAATTACAGATTTTTCAGGGTTGTTTTTTTTTCCTATGAGGAGTCATACATAAACATTTTTAGTTAAATGGTTTCATAGTTCCTTTCTAGTTGCCTGTAGTAATTCATGGAGTTTACATTTACACCATCACTGATAATATAACACTAAAGTAGCAATTCAGAGGTTTTATTCTATTACCTAGTAAAATCTTTACACAGACTCTGGGAAGTAAAAGTTATTGTTATTATTACTGCCATTTTATAGATGTAGACACAGGGGGCAAAATGAGTAAAAATCACATAGCTAAGAAATGCCAAAGCCAGGACTACAACAGGTTTATAGATTTCCCAAACTTAACTGTAGGTCAAAATCTTGCAAAAGTGGTTCCAAATAGTATATTTTGCTTTATTTTAATGCTCAATAAGAATGACCACTTAGAAAATAGTGTTTAATATGCTAATCTTATTTGTAC